CCATAATGACAGCCTTATGTATTTCTCTGGACATGATCTGGTGTGCATTGTAGACTGGGTCAACCTGGAAGCCAAGGTTAATTTTGAAAACTATCCTTATCCATGTGGATTTGAACCTGTGACCTTTAGGTCGGGAGGTGAGTGTGTAGCTGCTATGTTATCATGGCTCCCACCAATAAACAAGCATTTCCCATAATTTATGGATGTTTCAGCGGTGAGTACGATATCCTCTGAAACACTGAAAGCAACTTGTGGGTGTGCTCCTACCACATTCCATCAGTCAGCAGTTTCTTTACAGAATGTCGCTCTCGTCACCGCACAGCTGAAAGTCTCTCTTTCTCTAGCTAATTCTCCAGCCATGTGTGCTTTCATAGACAATGCATTTTCAGTCTCTTGTATCCAGGTTCACAGAGGTCAGCCTCTTTCTTATTTTAGGGAAACTACAGCCTCCATCACCCTTCTCCCCAGGCCACCATGGCTTTTAACGTGGCCAAATTACATCAGCTTTCAGGATATGTTGCGTTTTCTTTTTCAAGAAGCCACTGTCCTCAGTGTTCAGATCATATAGGCTTCTGTTTGTATTTTCCTGGTCCGTGGTATTCTAAGAATTCTTCTTTAACATTTCACTTAAAAGTTCTGATTATTTTCTTTAGTCTAAGCCTCACTTATAAGATGCCACAGGAGAGATCCATGATGTTAACTCGTTTGCATGTGTTTTGCTGAAGGCTCTCCATGATTTTTTACCTCTGCATGCTATAGTAAGTCTTTTTCTGACTTCTTTTGGGTAGTCATGACTGTGATTCACTTGTGAGCCCAAAAATTCAAAAATCTGTGACATTTTCAAATTCTTCATTTCCAACTGTTGTGTGTTGACTGCTGAATTAACTGCTCACATAATTTTAAAAAACTTAAGAAAAAGATTCACTTCTCTGCTTTTTTTTTTTTTTTTTTTTTTTTGTAGCGGTCAGAATTATTTCCTGTATGCCCTGTACACTATTATGAAGGAGAACTGTGTCATCTGTATATCTGTTCTGGCACAGAACAATTATGAGAAGATCAAAGATGTCACATATTCTCAGAATATTTGTTGAAAGGTGATGGAGAAAGAATGCAGCCCTGTCTCACTCCTCTCTGCACCTCAAACCACTCAGATGATTCACCAGCTACTCTGACTACTGCTTTTTGTTCGTGGTAAAGACATTTCATTTGAAGTTACAATTATGTTGAAAATCCCATGGCTCTCCGTGTATGCCTGCTTCTGGTCCTGAGCACAGAGAAAAGCTTTGCTGTAGTCAAACGTATGGAGATCTGTCCTGTACTCTCTGCATTTCTCAAGGATTATTCTCCTATTTAAAATGTGAACCCTTGTTCCTCTACAACGTATAAAGCCTTTTTGATATTCGTGTTATTCAAATTCTAATTTCTTTTAAATCCCTTTCAAGATGAATTGCAGAAGGATTTTGCTAGCATGGCTGATCAGAGTTGTAGTAAGATAATTGAAAATTCTTGTTTTCTGGAGAGTAATGTTGACTGATCTTTTTTAAGCTTTTTGTCTGCATTGTGAAAGATGTTCACACTTCTTCTGGCTGTTAACACTGGCTGAAAGTTCTGATTGTTGATACACTTCCAGATTCTTAGTCTTGTCCCAGAACTTGCATGATTGATTGGCACCTTTCTGTCTTTCAGGACATGCAGATTTGGCTTATTTGAATGTAGAAGTGCTTGAAAAAAGTTCAGAGGGAAAGGTGACTTGAAGGGATTCACAAGACAACACAGAGAGAGAACTGACCTGATAGCTAATCAGACTCTCAGATAATCAATATTCTTCAGTGGATCCCAGCTCACTGCGGCACAGGGGGAAATAAGTTGGCAGAGTTGTAAAAAAAATAGAACAAAGGAGAAACAACACACCCATTCATTGTCATTACCAGAAATCAAAACACTCATCAAGGATAAATATGAGAAACTGTGGAGAGAACACACCAACAGTAAACATCCACCCCATCAGCAGACTCAATAGAGAGCAACATTAAACAATTTTCAGTCTACAAACAGGACTCTGAAGGCTAAACTATTACATGCATAAAATAAAGACTGTACGGTCCCCATATTGTGCCTGTCAGACTGGACCACAAACAACTAAGCCCATTCTGCAGACCTGCCCATTCTACCTACAACTTCGAAAATAAACCTGGCCCCAACAGCAAAATGTGCAGAGAAAGCTATAGGGAACCATGAAGGGCCTGCTGCTGACATGTGAGTTTCTAGAGGCAACCTACTTGATGGTCTGGTCTGAGTATATGAAGCCAAATGCAAAGAAGAAGAAGAAGAGGAAGAAGAATGCTGACTGACTGTTTCTTGCCAAATTCTGACTTCTTAATTTCCTATTTTTATACTTTTCTGACACTCTAACCTAAGAAACTAGAGAAGGAGAAGAGAAAGCTGAAACATTGAGATTTCTGGGCAGTTTTTGTAAACATCCAGGAGGTCAAACCTGTAAACCAGTAAGCAGGCAGGCAAGCATGAAGTAGACAGCTAGATCGCAGCCGTCAAATCACAAAACAAACTCATATTATTTTCTATTCCAGTTTTGTGTACACATGCAAACACACACACATACATACATACACACACAGGAAAAAGGTTAGGAAAAGGGAAACAATCACCAAACACAAAGAAAGCAAAGAATTAACTACTTGGATCCCCTCAGACTATGGCAAATGTTGACAGTCATGTCCAGCAAAGTGAGGTCACATGAGATTATAAAATTATTATTATGTAATGATGACATCCTAATGTTTAAAAATGCTTTTTTGGGGGGATAGACTTACCCCTCGTGTGTACACACTATTAGTCACAACTAGTACCAAAGCTGTTATATAGGTGTAATGGTCACTGTCCAAAGACTTTATGTCATCAAAAACCAATCAATGTCAGGAAAAACAGCTTTTTAGAGTGACCGGGTTAATTTAATAACCGCAGCTGATAAAATAAGGTGCCAGGAAAAATTGTGTAATCTGTGTATTCTTGTCCAAATCACAAAGCTCTAAGCTGCATCTTCTTCATCCTCAGCATTCTGAGCCCTTGAGATTCATTGCTGAAGATAGTGCTAGATTTAGGCATTAGCTAACTAAGCTACAAGCTTAGGGCCTTACAATCTGCAGCGGAATAAAAAAAATTCCGTATTTTTTGTAGTTTACAAATGCAGTTTCTTAAAAGATAGAATCAGAGCCTTTAACTCTTTCAGTACCAGAAGGTTTCACAATAGATTTTGATCCAAAATCGTGATTGCATTACATTCAAAGTGGCAGTATATGCAGTAGTAGTGACCATTTAGGAAAACTATATTCCTTTAGTTAATAAAAATAAAATAAAAGGCTACATTATGCTGTGGAGGGGAATCAAGGGGGTAGATTCATTAACACATCATGTATGGCCCGGGACTTGAAGAGTTAAGATTATATCATTTCTTTGATTTTCAGACACATTCTTTTTATTAAAACTTCAAAGATAATATAACTCCATCATCCCTATTTTAAAAGGCATATATATTCTGATGTTTTATGAGATTAGCTGGTGCAATTTAAAATGGTACGGCCTCATGGTTCTATATGCCTTAGGGCCTCGTAAGTCTCAATCTGGTCCTGGCTGCAGATATCACCCACCTCTACTCGTCTCTGTGATTAGTCCTCTGCTTGGTGACTACAAGTGTTTGCAGATCTGCTGGGATATTATCTCTCCACTGTCTTCTTGGTCTGCCTCAAAGTCTACAATCATTCAAATCCCTTGTGTACACAGTTTTACATAAAAATATGCAAATGTTTATCTTACAAGTTAAACTTGTATTGTCCCTGGGAATTAAACATGGAATAAACATTGCTATAAAACATAGTATCATATAATACACCATTATTCATCACTTTCCTGTGAAATATATACACAATCTGATGCAATTTTTTTTTTAATGTTTAATCTTGTGAGATCAACTAACATTTATCAGCATGACACATGATGTTGATACTAATCACCATAGCAGTATGTCTCTCACAGCAACATGATGTTACTAATCACCATAGCAGTATGTCTCTCACCGTTATCTATCGACATGTTCTAGTCATATTAGTTCATTCATCTTCAATGTAAAATTTGTAAATTTAATTTGACATACAATACAAAAGCTTAAAAACAAAATTATTTCTCAATTTATCACACTAGTCATGGCTTCCTATCAAATTAGTTACAATTTAATTCAAACATTACTAAATTGTACCAAACAGTTGGCTTGGCTTAAAACACAGATCAGATTAAAACAATGTACCTAACATCTTAAAACCATATGTATCCTCCCTCCACGATAAAATGAGACTAATAACATGGGCAGCTCCACTTTCTGTTGAAACCTAATATTTAGTTTCAGGACGGATAAAGATACTTTCATTAATCCTTTCATTCTCACTTAACATGTGGTCTGTCACTGGCATTTTCTTTTAAAATCCCAAACATGTCATATGTTCTTTCAACATTTTTTTTTTTACATTTAGCTTAAGCACACAAGCAATCTGGCTTCCACAGAAGTGTATGCAACCCTTTTCTTCTTCGGGAATTAGTGCTTTCATGGTTTTATACTGTCTATATTCCCACTTATGTTGTGGGATAATTTTACCTCTGGTAGACGACTTTAACAGCTTAAAGTTGAAAGCGATTAAATCTTTCCTATTAAACAGTGCATACCAAATTAATTAGCTGCACCAGAAACATGCACAGTTATCTTCATATTCAAACATTAAATGCTTTCATGATTTTCAAACTGGTTTTTTTCTCTCTGTTGAGTATCTGCTGTGCAACAACTGCACTCAGACAGTGAATTCACATGAAATAATTTTACCTGATTTTACCTCTAGAAGAAGACTTTACTAGCATACAGTATAAAGCAGTTTGATCTTTCATATTACACACTAAATTAAGTAACTGCACCCAAAACATGTAACATATTTTTCGATTTAAACATTAGTCACTTTTCCTTTATTTCCAAGTGAACAGTGCTGACATAATGTAACAGTATTCTGTTTTTCACTTTGAAGTTCTTTTAGCAAAGCCATGATTTCTGCTCTCTCTGAAGTCAGTCTGTCTAATTCCTGTTGCCTGTTCATTTCTACATCAAGCAAAGTCTTTAAACGTTCTCCCAATCGGCTAAGCTCTGTTTTGAGAGCTTCAATTTGGCCTTGAAGAGCTGTTTCTTTCTTCAGCATGTGACCTGAAACAGAAATAACAGTGATCAGGAATGAGGTCATAAGGGAAAAAGTCAGCACAGAGGAATACATGCAAAGACAGCAAATCAAATTACTTAGAGAGAATGCCTTGTGACACCATACCATACAATAAAAGAAAAGAAGGATGCCGATCACAAGGTAGACTATGAACAACATGGGAAGATAACATCAGAGCTAAACAACAGGATATGTCTTTAGCTGAAGTGGCCAGAAGAGCAATAAGTAGAACTGTATATCTTCTCTGAAACTGAAGCGGTAGAAAAGGTACTGAAGAAGAGAAGAAGACTGCTTTGTATGACAAGTATGAAGGTTGTGACAATACGCTCGGTGACTCCAGAATGTCTTTCCTCAACCTACTTTTATTTGTATGTATTTTGAAGCATACAGACAAATAGGGATTTGGATACATCCTTAATCAAAGTAAGACGACCACACCACACCTTTAATTCTCCTGGACCGTTGGTCATAGCAAACACTAAAACTTTTTCCCAGATGTTAAGTGTTAAGGTACAGAGATAAGACTGACCAAGCAGACTTACTGACTGGAGATTTGCACACCATTTGTTGGTGTCAGATAGTTATTCCCCCTGCCAGATCTTCAGGAACAGATAACAAGGGCTAATTGCCATTATCTCCCCCTGAGGTTACCTAAACTGGAGTGCCGGTCCAACGGTCACTATTGACACAGTGAGCGGAAAGATTTGGCAGAAGAATTGACAAAGTCGGATTTGATTGTGATGGCAGGTGAAGTAGACTGGAGGTGTAACTTGGCCTATTAGCTTTGACCAGCTTAATTGAACTTGTAGAATGTGAGCGTGGGAATTTAAACAAGTGTTGTACAGCCCTGACTGACAGCGAATAAACTTACCCACAGGGGAGGAGCTGTGATATCCCTGAATGAGAATGATTTTAGGCGTAATGTAGGAGGAGCTTGATAAAAGTTATAAAGTGGTGAACTTAAGGTCTGGTAAATGAGATCCTGTCTAGGACATGCCATCTGTTGGGCTTAACCTAAGCTTGAGACAGAACTTTTGGCATCGTGGTTTCATTTTTCCAGTTCCCACATTGGGCAGGGACTAGTAGGCATCCATTATTTGCCGACCGTCGAGTGTAACGACCTGCAGAAAGCAGTGAGGCCGACAAACTGGAAAAGATAGGCAGGGTCTCAAGCCGAGAACTGTCCTGACGGTGAATTCTCCTACTAGGAGTTAAGTATATGTACAAACTGTCATCATTCACATCATTTCAACTCTACTAGCCTAAACAAGTTCATTTTAATTTCGATTTATTCAAATAAATCATATGTGATGAGTTTCATGATAGTTGAGTAAATTGTGTACTTAGGTTCAAGTGTCTTTGTGCAGATTAGTTTACTTCAGCTAACAAATATTTAAATCACTTGATGGGGGCTTTTAAGTAATGCCAGGAGAGGAGAATAGTCGCAGGGGTTAACTGTGTATCGAGATAATATCACAGTGGGTGTATCCTGATATCTATCTATCCCTTCTCCTACTCCTGTGGATACAAGTACAGCAACTTTCATTTCATGGAACGAGCCACTCGCTGTTTTCTTGGCTATCCAGGACTGTCTAGGATCAACATAGCTTAGATAATAGTCCAGTTTCTCACGTGGGTGGGCATTGTTAAGGTTCAAACCCACACCCTCACTATATCAGTGTATTTACCCACGTGGGCGCGCGACAAAGGTATTTAAAAATGTCCCCTTAAAGTAGATTTCACACTGTCACTATTCATTCACTTCATTATTATTCTGGTTTCAAGCTTTCTTCTACTAAAAATTCATCATAATCATCATCCTCGACACCATCATCATAAAATGCTTTGCTAATAGATGTGAGTGATCAGGCTTCTACTCCATTGTGATCCATAACAAAATGCATCAACATGTCCTGAGACCTTTCATGACAAAATTCAGTGAAGAATTTTCTCAACTAGGTCTTATCTAACTCTCATTCTGTTCATCTTTCCAGTTTTCATAACATATTCCAGTTTTTATTTTATACATGAAAGAATCGAGATTGCCTATGTCAGAAAATATGCATAACAGAGCAGTATATAAACTTCTGATCTCGTGCAGGCCCAGAATTTGATTTTCCTGTGAACAATCACAATGAATGTTTCTGGCATAACAAGACAGCGAATGTGTGTGTTTAAGGTGTGTATGTGTGTCCATTTAATGTTTGAAATAGTAAATGTGTGAGAAGCTTTCTAAATATTCTTTTAAAAATGGAAGAGTACAAAAAACATAATAAAAACCATTAAAACCTCTTTGTAAATCAAACATAGCCTCCATTTCTCTCTTTTGATCTTCCATCTTGCATGTCATTTCTGTCCGCAGCTCTTCAATGGTTGTTCTCAGCTTTGTGATGCAGTTGTGTTCTTTGTCTTCTGTGGTTGTCAGTGAAAGTCCACAACCTCTTGGACAGTCTTGGCTATAGTCAATACTTTGTCTTTGACCTTGTGAATAGGAACAACTAATTAATCAATCATTGCTTTACTTTGTGTGAATGAACAATGGAAACATATGATTTTAAATTTACCACAATTGTAAAATTTACCATATCATATTATTCCTTACGCCTGTATGATAAGCACACTTTGAATTTCTCTGACAGATCAGGCCACTTTGATGTCCTAAAGGTAATATCCTAGGAAGTATAGGTGACCACCCGGATAATGATTTCAGCCAAACCTGTGAGAATCTGTGACTGTTGTTTTAAACAATTCAACTATGACATTTTTTATTATTTTTATTTTTCATTTTCATGAACCTAAACTAGTTTGACTGATCCATTTTGCACAACGTGTTACTTTAAATCTTTCTGATCTTTCCAGCTGACTCTGAGTTCTGCAGGTCTGCATGTATATTATCAGTCTATGTTCTTCTTGGTCTGCCTCGTGATGTACTCCTAATGAACAATTTTGTGTGAGCAATTTTAGTCTCTGTTATCTGTTGTTCTTTCTAAATGCCCCAGCCTATATCCTTATGATGCCAGTACTTAGTGGTGGTTGAAACAGATTATACATTTCATTGTTGCTTCTAACTCTCTCGTCTCTAATGTTTGGCCCAGAGATTCCTTGTAAGACTGTTCTCAAAACCAGTATTTTACCTAGGATGCTGAACAGGCTGTCTCTGCTAACATAAATAAAACCTTCCATGGTTTCTTTCATCTAAGATGCACCCAGACTTCAAAGGAAACTCCAAGTTAATCGATCCTTGTTTACCCTACAACCACACAGGGAGATACAGTGATCATTTGCAATGCCATGCAGTTTTTTTTACTTCTATATATTTTGACTTCAATGGTTTCTTTCATCTAAGATGCACTCAGACTTCAAAGGAAACTCCAAGTTAATCGATCCTTGTTTTCCCTACAACCACACAGGGAGATACAGTGATCATTTGCAATGCCATGCAGTTTTTTTTGACTGGTGAAATTGTGTATACCTCTACTCTATTATTGACCACATGTCTTTTTTGTAAAGAAGACGGACAAATCTCTCAGAAGGAAAAATGGGCATAACAGTAAGATATTTATTTTGACAGATCAAGTCCACTAACTAATACCTGAAGCATGAGCAAATAACTCCTCGTTACTCTGCAGACTCTCCAT